AAGCCTTATCCTTGCCGGCACAACTCGGAGACTGAGCGTCGTGCTTTTTTAATTTCTTTCCACTACTGACGGGTTGAAGAGTAAAAAGTGGAAGTGTGGTAAAAAGCCGAAGGGCTTAATACTCTCTAATAGTTTTCTCTAAGTTTTAAGAGGATTCATTTAAAATTTCCTTCAAAATTCGCACAAAAGATTCTCATTACGAGTTCTCAGAAATTTCTTGGTTCACAACGGTTAAGATTATTCTCCCCGGTTGATCTTCTTAACAGACTCACAATACCCTCTTGTTAAGGCCACAAATTACTTAAAATATCAGCGAGAATGAGCCAAGAGCTGCAGAAGGGACAGCAGCCAGCAAGGATTATGGCATCATTCATGGTGGCGCATGCAAATGGGCACTGAAATTAATCACGGGGAGCTGACAGTCGGCGGCACCATGACCACCGGCATCCGTAAGTTGCTTTTTAATTGATCGGATTCGCGAGTCGCGGCGACAACTCCTTGGAGGACAACTCCTTGGCTCGGAAGACTCCTTTTGTGCCACTAATTGCAGACTCTTTTGGCAGAGGATCTCCGCTGGCACATTCATCATTCGAATAACTATAACAAAAATTCATAATCGGGACGAGAGTAAGGCGCAAAATGCAAATGATATGCCAGACACTCGCCGGCAAAAGTTATCTTCTGCATTGCAGATAGGACGAACATCCGCCCAAGTCCTGCGACTTTGCTTCACTTTTGCGAGATCCTAACGACTGACACGTGAGAAGTTTTTAACACGTACACGAAGAGGTCAGAGAAATTTACGAGTTGCTGCTGCTTCTGCTCCTGCTGCCTGCTGATTTATTTTCCAGAGTATGAATTTTCTTAGGGCCGCCGCCTTGTTTTCTTATTTTCCCTTGCTTTACGTTACTTTTTGCTTTAATTTTTATCACTCTCGCCCAGTCTGCGGCTGTCTGAAGGTGCCACACAGGTAGCACGCGATAAGACTGGCCGCCGCACACTCGAAAGCGGAAAACCGCAGGAGGAAAATCCTGCGAGGAGTGGAAAATAAAACTGAAAGCCAGCCAGGCACGAGAAGGAAATGCAAAAAATGACACGAAATCGTTAAGCGACAACCGGCAACTTCGACTTGAACTCCGCCGCAGAGCTGACACTTGCAACTCCCCCTCATTTTCCATTTCCCCAGCCCATTTCCCATTTCCCCTTTCCCTTACCTTTTTATTCACCCAGCGACTCGGCTGGCTCCTCGACTAACAAGCGTGCCCAGGCAACGGAAATACTTGCCCCCGTTCGCGGCAAGTGTTGTGGCGATAAGCAGTGCCACGCCTACTCAACCCCAGCCCCCGCCCGACGGAAAGCACGACCCCTTTTACTTGGCTCGCACTTGAAACGATATGCAAATGTGCATGTGGCAACCCTCAGGGGCCAGGTAAACAAGCGACCCTCGCCAAAACTCTTTTTGTAACTCTTCAACATTCCCAAAAAAAAAATGGAAACAATTTGTGCTACGAACTACAGTGATAGTCAACATTATAGCACAACTATTTGGCTGTGTTGCAGTTCGCAACATGAATTCCAAAATTATTTTTAAAAGTTTTACACTTTTCTGTCCCCCAAATATAATTAATGCAGTTACAATCTAGTAAAATGGTTTTTTAACGCTCAAATTGGACTTGTAAAATTTCCACTATATTACATTTCTTATATCCTGTGCAAAATTTGTGAAGAATATACAAAACCAGAGACTGGATTCCAGTTTTATTTTTGCAACCGCAGCTGTGCAACAAGAAATCTTATCGATATATTGTTAGGGGGCCATTGATGACAGCGATACAACAGGGATATGGATTGCAGCTAGATATATTCGGGCAGATATGGATATGGACGCGGATGATGAAGGGCTGTGCTCTGCATGAATTTCAATTTTCCCATAAACAAAAAATGCGGGTAATTTGTGTGTGCGTGGATTTTTGCGATCGATTTTGTTGCCGTCGGTTGTCACTCTTGTCGCACAAAGGCAACTCTGGCATGCGTGAGTCCCCTCCCAGCTTGCCACTCTTTCCCTCCTCCTCTTTCCCGCACTCCCGGTTTTTCAGTATTTTCCAGCCTGAGAGGCAGGACATGCAGGTTTTTCTGCGGTTGATTTTAAATTGTCTGCCCAGAATTCGCCCGAAAAAAGCAGAAAAAAGAAAACCCGTCATATGAAAAATGCATAATAAATGAGCTTGATTGCCGAATCGTCGGAAAAGGCGGCGGCAGTGGGCGTGGCTGCGACTGTTCAAACACGCCTTAAAGCTCTATAGTAAGCCAACTTTCCCCGCGTTTTACTCTGATTGATTTTCGTTCGTTGTTTCTTTTCCGAACGGTTATAGCCAAGGCGTTTAACTATCTGAGGGGCGTGGCCATTACAGAAATTGAGTTGTTTTAAAAGCGAAGGGCGGAAACTGAAAAAGTCTAAATGAGTCATAAAACTCGAGGATTCTTTGGCTAGGGAACATTGAATGTCATGTGTCACAAGTTTTTATGGTGAGTCGTAAAACAGGGTTCCGCCGAAACTAGTTTTAATATTCAAATCCATATGTGCAATTGTGATATTAACTTTTTAATATTCTCTTTCGAAATGTTTATAATAAAGTTTTATAAGTTTAAGACCGGATTCAATCTGTGCGAATAAAATTTAGAGCAAACAAACAAAACTAAATGAGTGTTTTTAGCGCGGAAAACATTTCCGCATGTGGCGCACAATTTTTAATATTTAATGCGTTCCTAATTGTGCGGGAATGCACACACATGTGAGCACTTCTCCCACTCTAATCTACATTGTATTATGCCCGGCATTTATCACAAAGTTGAAATGATTTATTGTTTTCAAATTTAAATTCAGCGCTCTGGCTCCGAATTATGCTAAGTGCTTTAGCATTAGGCTAACCAAAACAAGGCTAAAAAAACACAGAAACAAATGCACTAAATTGCATTTAAAACTAATTAAAATTGTAGACAAGCACTTACGCTAACATTATTTAATATTGTTGTTGCTGCTGCTGCTGTTTTTGTGGTGTGTTAAAAAGGTTTGTCGTAATGAGCTTACCTGCAATTAAAAGAATAAATACGGGCAAAATTAGTAAGCTGTTCTTCAAAAACTAAATGGCAGTAGGGGCATTTAAAGTTCATTAAAATTAAGCAGGAGAGAGCCAACTCAATCAGGAGTCACTCAGCCTTCGCACTCCACATTCCCTGCCCATCGATTCACATTCATTCGTTCGCTCAGTCACTTATTCTCCGTTTTTGCAGTTGCCCACCTGCCTTAGGTAATTTGTTGCTCTGTGACCAAAGGCGAAACAAAGGCCCAGAGACATAGAAACGCAATCCCATGTCGGGTCCTTCTGTGAGCTGCATCTTTCCAATCCAAACCCTTTTTGTCTCTGTGCGTCCATAAAAAAGCAGCAGAGCAAAATTGAAACGACATCGAATGAAAATTCCCGTACGTGTCCCAAACAATATAAAAGCCAAGACCGAAAACCCAATCCCAATCCCAATCCCGATCCCGAGATCCATTGGGAGTCATCGCTCTTTCTCCACGGCGCTCGGACAAAAAGAAAACCTCTCATGTGGGCGGCAAAAGAGGGAGCACAAAAAAAAAAAAAAAAGAAAAGTGTTCAAGTAATCGAGCAACTTCAATTTGCCGGCTGTGGTGGAAAAATGAAAATTGTTGACCAGAGTTTTCGCCACCTCCCCTTCGCAGCTCCCTTTATGATTCCATTTAGCGCCTGGCACGCCAATTACAATGACAATGAATAATTATTCAAGACCAAAGACCAAATCCCGGACAGGAATTTTAATGCAGCAGCTGCTGCTCTCTATTTTTCCGCCCCCCTTCACAAATTTTTCCGTACCGTGCAAAATTTTAATGAAGTTCATCTTCGGCATTCCACCGAGCAGCGCCCTTTGTTGTGCAAATTGTCTTAGCCCGGATTGGGATATAATTCCAATTTCGAATGCAAATGCATTACCATTAACAAAAGACATTAATTACTTGGGAGAATGAAAAATGGTCGAGGGACTTGGCTGCGCCGTTTAATTGCCAAACATTTTTGCACATATGCACAAATTAGTGTGACAATTGTTCGGCTGCGTTAATGATGATGATGATTATGGAGCTGCCGCCATTCGATATTGCATTGCAGCCGCCCACTCACCACCGCTCACCCAACTGCAATCCAAAATCCCTGGCCAAATCCCGTTGACAATTTTCGCCATTAGGTGGGCGACGACAGGAACCATCGGCATTATATCAATTACCCAACACAGGGACAGACAGACAGGACACTCCACGTATCGCCCATTCAACCCCGAAACGCACAACCATCGATTGCGGACCTCCTGAAATCGAGCATTGCAATTGATGAAATAATTTGCTGCACTGACATTTTTGGTTGCCATCGATACCGGTACCGAAACAGATGCAGATGTTAGTTGCGTTTTGGGTGGAAAATGCCTGGACTGTCGCCACGCCCCTCCACAGATTGGCATTGTCCATCCTGTGCTCTACTATATTGCGTAACAGCTGCATCAATGATTTGATTTGATTTCCTTAGATAATTGCCAAACTGAAACATGTGCGAGAATTTCGGCCATCCGGAGAGTGTGCGTCCCAAGGGTAATATTCGATGATGACGGCAACCACTAAGAATTAATCAGAGCGGAATATCAAATTGAGCATCCTAAATAATTTCATTCGCATATAGTCCCAGACCCCAGAGATTCCGAGTGTTGAAGCTAAGGATCAGATTCGGCTTCTAATGGCTCGATGATGGATGATTTCATTGGGTTGATTTATGCACATATGTATACAAATGTATTCTTGTGAGGAGCAGCACTAGTAGTCTTCGCACATAAAACAAAATATTTATATTGGAGAATACTTTTTTTCGATTCCACAAAAATAAATATATCTATATTTAAATAAAAGAATGTTTAATCCTTCCCCATAAATTTTTAAATTAGTTGTTCGGTTAGGGTTTTTATTTTTTATAATGTTTTTGGCGCTATCATCAGGTTAAATCAAGTTCTTGGTCGAGTTTTTCACTCAACAGTTTAACTCGTAAGCTTTTTTGTGAAGATTTGCGCGGTTTTTACATTTTACACTGCTTTGTTACAAAATTGTTTCGTTTTTTTTAATGGTTACATTGGATTTGTTTTTAAGATTTTTTTTTGTAGTTTTTAAATTTTTATAGTAGTTTATGTGATATGTAAAACCTATACCTGTATAAAAAGTATGACTTGTGTGATGTAAAAATGTATGTTTCCCTATTTTGTTCAAAAAAGCTTCGCTCCATGAAATTTTATATTTTTTTTTACATTTTTAAATTTTGTTGATTTTTTTATACTTTTTAATTTTTTTTTTGTTTTTTTGGTTTTTTTTTGCAGGTTTTTTCACAAGTGCTTGGAAGCTTGTGGAAACGAGTTAAGTCATCTTGGCACGCAAACACTTTAAAATATTTCTTGCATTTTTGCACAGTTTTGTGTTTTTTTTTTGCGACCGACTTTGCGTTAAGATAGGTGTTTGGTTATTTATTTGGTCATTTCACTTATAGTGAATCGAATTCGGCTAATTCCCTACTATGAATACGTAATTATCCAACGTCAAATTTAAATCGGTTTAAAAGCGCCGGCAACTTCTACAAAAAACTTCCTTTCACAACCTTTAAATTTTTTTTTACATCCTGACTAAGTATAAAATGTTTTCTTTGAATTGTTTTAGCAGGGGTTGTGTCGTGTTCTGTTTTTTATAACTTTGGTTTATATTTTGGGGTCAATGTTTTTATGCAAGCGGTGGCTGAGTGGCCACAGAGTCATCTTTGGTTCGCACACTTGTGGGGATCTTGCTCTCCCTGCCAGCTTGTGAATCCTCCGCTTTGTTTTGATCGGGTTTTACTTTAATATCGGTCCAAGCAGCTGTGGTGGCCTTGTCCACCATTAGTTTTGAGGATCGGGGCGAGGGCATGTCGCTGTTGGACATGGAGGAGCCCCTTTTCGCCAGGAAATGATGCTTCTGGCCCTCGTAGAACTCACTCTCCGACTCCGCCGAGGGCTGTTGCATCAGGATCGTGGGTCCGTCGTAGCCCTCGAATATGGAGTTAAGGCTCCTCGTCGACTCCAGTCTTCTGTAGCTGGCCACAAAGATGGCCTTGATGCGCTCAAAGGTGTCCGAATCGTAGACCGACCTCGCTGTATTCGTCTGATCGAAGGGCTCTTCGATGCACAGCTCGTTCCACTGGTGAATATCGTTCTTCGGCGCCGACGAGGACCGGCAAATCTCAATGGGCAAAATTCCGCCCACCCGAATGGAGATGGCGAACTTTCCGTACTCGAACACACTGTAGTAGTGCAGGAATCCGAGCAGCAGTTCCGCCAGGGACTGACTGTTCTCCGACTGATACGGCGGCATCTCCTCGTTCATGTCCACGTACCCGAAGTCGCTGGGGTGCAGGAGGCCAAACTTATCCGGATACATCTTGTGCAAACATGGCAGCACCGGCGGATTGGCTCCGGCCTGCAGGAAGTGGATGACCATCAGCATAAGCGAGTAGCTCGAAATGGTCATGTTCTTGGCATTGTTGATGTTGTGGTACTGGGCCCACTGCTTCACGGTCAGCGCCATCGGACGGACGCGCCACTCCAGCTGGGAGTAGCAGTACAGCAGATGGGTATTCCTGATCCCCACGGAGTTGTTGAAGTTTATGTCCACCTCCACCTTGTGCTGCCGGTCGGTGAACCGCAGGATGGGCACCCGGGCCTCGATCAGATTGAAGTCCTGGAACATGTTTGTGCGCTGCAGCAACTCCTTCATCAGCTGCAGGTGATAAACCGCCTCCATGCGGGGATCGATGCTCGGATTCGTGCAGGCCAGCATGCAAATGTCCATGTCCGAGCACTTGGAACCGAAGTACGAGATGGTGGACCCGACCAGATACAAGCCGTATCTGGGGTAGGTCGTCTGAAGATCGATTGGGTTCTTAGATTTAAGTGGAACACTTCCCCAACAAAACTCACCATGGCCACTGTGTAAATGGAACGCCACAGTCGCATCTTGGTATTGTAAACATGACGAGTCTGCTGGGCCTCGAGGAACTTCCTCCAAATGGAAAGGGACAAGGGCTCCCACTTGCTTTTGCTGGGTACGCTCTTTGGTGGCCTCTTCATTTCCACCAACCTGGATCTGAGCAGAAAGCGATCCGCCGGCGTATAACCAAAGAATTCGCGCCAGTAGCGATTGTGAATCACCAAAGGCAAATTTTCTTCTGCAGGTTCTTGCGCCTTTGGGTTTGAGGATTGGGGAATGGGCAATCAAATAAGTGGAGGAAGGTTATGCAACTTCGGAAACCGAATATTCATGGGTCCTTTCATGCATGTTAAGTTTGTAAAAATTATTCAAGTTAAAAAAAAAATGTTTCATGGAAATATGAAATGAGATTTTATTCAATGTATTTTACTTATTGCGTAATTAAAAACAGAACTATCGGACAAGAGGAAGTTAATTTTCAGGGATTATGAAAGGACCTCTGCTAAGTGAAGCCAGTTATTGAAGATGACCTACCATGGTGATGTTGGGCTTGGAAGAGGCGACACCCACTGCACTTTTGCTGGAGCAGGCGGATGGGCTGCAGGAGAGATTGGAGGTCACCGAGAGGTTGTCGACCTCCTCGGCTGGCTCCTTCGAATGGCTCTTCCCGGTGTCCTGGTGGTTCAGCTCCATCTTCTCCTTCGACTGACTCAACATGTCCCCGCAGCAACTCATTCCTCGGGGACTCACGTGCGGGTGGTGCTGCTGATGTGGCAGGTGGCACCTGTATCCGTTGGTCGGGCCGGTTGGCTGGGTCTTCCTCTCCAGCTGCACAAGGTGGTGCATGTCGCCGTAGGGCACCAGGTTCGGACCACTCAGATCGGGCTCCTGAGCTCCGGTGGCGATGGCCAGGCAGCTGACCATTATCTTGCGCACCACCGACTCCACGGAGGCGTCACTCAAATCGCTTTCGGTGACATCACTCTCCACGCTGAGAGCCAAGCTGCCCTCGTCCACTTCGATCTCGGAGCTCGGATGCGACAGCAGACACGTCGAGTGGCCGTCTAGTTCGGAGGTGTCCTGCTTGTAACCGAGCGGCTCCAGATCGGAGGAGAAGCCGCCATTGGCTGGATCCAGACCCAAGTCAGCAAAGTCCTGGCGCTGATCAAAGTCCGAGTCCAGCGGCTGCTCGCCCTCCGAGGTGGCGCTGCTGGCCGCGGCCGTAGCTGCTCCCCCTCCTCCTCCTACTCCTCCTGCTGCTCCACCACCTCCTGCGATTCCCGCCGATAGTCCTGGCATCGGTAGTCCTCCCCCGGCTGCTCCAAAAATGGATGCACCGGGTGCATAAACCATGTAGTGGCCGGGTTGGTAGACATATGCATCCATGTACCGGGATTGATAGTAACGCGACTGCTGCCGGGCTGCAGTTTGTCCTTGATAGGCGTTCGATCCTTGGAACTTTGCCACCCGGCGCACTCCGGATTGTTGCGCCGCCTGATAATTACCTATTGGTGGTGCCATGGCCACCGACTACTGTTCCTTGACTTCACTCGCAGTGTAGCGCATCTTGTTCCTGAAAGGACGATTGGGGTGCTTGTTCGGGGAGAGGGAGGTACTCGAACTGGGACGCTTGTCCAGTTGGGATTTCGAGGAGGAGGCTGAGAGTGATCCTGAGGAATTCGAGGTGCGCTCCTTGCCCACCAATCGCTTGCCGCCTCTTTTTGATTGGTGCCGATTTTTGGCATGGTTCTTGGACGAAGGTCCCTTTTCCTTGTTGCGATTTCCGGTTGGATTCTGATCGGTGTCAGTAGTGGCACTAGTTGGTGCGGCTCCTTCTGCTGGTGTTCCTCCTCCCGCGGTTGCTCCTCCTTCCGCTGCTTCTGCAGTGGTTGCCGCTCCTCCGGCTGCGATTGCTCCTCCTTGGTAACTGCGACTATTCACCACAAAGGGTGCTTTGAATCGGGGTCCTCCACCCATTCCGCCGGTGACACTGTTGTAATAGGTCTTCGAATCCCTGTGGTACATAGATGCGCCCGTTGCAGCAGCCACTCTCTGTCGTCCCGATCCCAAGCGATCGCGATGTGCTCCCGGTCTTCCGTAACGCCAGGGGCTGGTCACCTGGGGAGGATTCCCCAGAGTTGGCGGCGCTTCCTCGCTGGTTTCGCCACCTGCAGCCGGTTGGGCCAACAATGGCGACTGCTGGCTCACCTGACGACTGCTCCTCGGCATTCCCGGCACTGGAGTGGCATGCAACCCACCCGTTGCCTGGTTGTAGTAGCCCGGATATATAATCCGCTGACCATACGGGTGCTCGAATCCCAGCGGCATCATGGGAATCGCGTACTGCGGGGAGTAGGCCTGATTGTAGGGATAGTTCCGATCGAACTGCCAGACTGCGTTCTCCGTGTGCCACAATCGTCGCTGTGGTCCGGTGGGCAGGTATCCTTGGTAGATGAACTGGGCGGCAGGCAGGGCACCTTGTGACGCGGCGGGCAAGCTGGCAGATGAGGGCGATCCTGCCACTCCCTCCGATCCTGAAGTGGCTCCTTGTGCAGTTGCCGTGGCTGTGGCTGCTGCGGTTCCCCCCGAGCCTCCAGCCGATCCAGATACTGCTCCTGCTCCTCCAGCTGCTCCTCCCGCACCCTGATAACGGTTCCTTGCCCCAGACCGTGGCGATGTCGCTCCCATGGAGGGCAGCAGAGGCATGTGGGTGGTTAGCAAGGGAGCCGTGGTCCTCAATGTTCGCGGGGTTATCGAAGAGGGCGTGGGTATATTGAGCGGTATGCCAGCCATTCCGCTGCCGATCCCGTAGAGAAACTCCATGGAGTACTTGTAGCCACCTGGTGGCCGAGGGCATGTGTGCACCACAGTGGTTTTGGACGGCCTCCGTGGCTTGGGAGCACAATCGTCGGGCGCCGGCTGAAAATCCCCTGCTTCGTCTCCGCCGGATTCTGCTTTCTCCGATGGCTCGATGGCCATGTTCAAAGTCGGTTCTGTTGGTACCGCAGCTGCTGTGGTTGTTGTGGTCTTTGTAGTGGTGTTCATGTTGGTGGTTGTTGCCGGCGACGCGGAGGTGTTTGTGGTGCTGCTAGTGGTCGTCGTTGCTGCGGCTGCGGCGATTGCCGCCGTGCCGCTCGAGGAAGCCGCTGCTGCCATTGCCAGGGCAGTGGACATTGCTACCGATACGGCCTAATCACGATCCAAACGACATATATCTATATATATGTGCGTACGTTAACGCAGATAGCTAAAGAATATGGTGTGTGTCCGGTACCTCAATCTGTCAATCCTAGGGAGCAAAGAGTTGACAGCAAACTGATGGCCAGACGTTGAGACTTCGTTTTTCGGTGAGTGGAAAAACGGGGATCCGGAAAAATGTGCTGTTTTATTACTGCCTCAAAAACTCTCCTCCGGATGCTTCATTATGTTCTGCTCTATGCTGCGCTTGTGTTTTGGATTCCTGTTATCGGTCTTAAATAAATCTGTTGTCTAAAAATCGACTCCTTAATCAATTTGCACAGAAATTTTGCACAATCTTAACTAGGATTAATCACGACGCAGACACATAAAAAAGTGGCTTGTCATGTAGAAAGTTCGGTGAGGTTTTGGCCACCAGTGTTGGTAAGTGCGCCTAATGTCACACCTCCCATCGATTGTTGCCAAGTGTTGGGTAAAAAAAACAAAAAGTGGAACACATATTGAACACTCTCAATTCAAAGGCTTTCTATTTGGTTTCAGTTTCAGGATTCACACTCTGCCTTTCCGGGTGGCAATCCTTTCAACTTTCTCCACTCACCACTTGAGCTAAATTTCCCTGACGCATTGAGTAAAAACAAAGAGGCTTTCGCACAAAGCTGACACATTTTTTTAAAACAAGGATAAAATAAAAGGCGAAATCTGCGCCATCCACTCAACATAGTTCCATTCTAAGCCAGCTCAGCACAGACTCCCTTTTCTACCCGCTTCCATTGTCTTCGCATTACGTTTACAATTTGATTTGCTTATGTAAATTATGAAGATTGCCCACAGAAGCAACCGCAGATCCGAGGATTCAAAAATTCAATTCGATTTGCCGGCTCAGCCCGAAAATGCAACCGAAAAAAGGAAAAATTGCGTTCTTCTGTAATTTGAAACAAATCAAATTTATTGCCCCAGACGCAGCGGCGCCATTGGCAATTTTCAGATGCGGCCAGATGCGGTGAGCATATGAAATGAGCCGGGGAAGGGGGTTGGAATTGGTTTACTCTACGTGCATATTCAGATACGGGCCCCGAACGCTCACATATTCTAATTAGATTTATAACGCAACAATAACTGTGCTCTTCCTCCATTACTCCCCTCCTCCTCGACCAGATTTTCAAATTTAAAACTTTCCATGAATTATGGTCAGAGTCCGGACAAAAAGGGGTTGGACAAGTGCACTCACAAAAGAGTCTGTGCAGAGCAAAAAAATATACAGAGGAAATATTCCGATAGAAAATGGAATATTAAAAAGGAAATTAAGCTGTTAAAAATCTTCGGTAAATTTAAATGCATTTAAAGAACTTAAAACTGTAAGTGCTGGTTCAATTTGTGTTTTTTAAGGTTTTTTTTTTAACTCAATATATTTTTTCTGCGTGCACATAGTCAAGTACAAAGATAAACCAACATAGATAGGTCCCTCCGCCAATAAACTTTTCGTGGAAATCGGTTGAGTCATGCCATATTAGTGTTCTAACCCTCCTTGGTTTTTCGAAGCCTCCTGCTACTGTCATCCTCCTCATTTAATGCTGTGTGACGCGTGTTACAGATTTTCGATTTAGCACACACCCAGAGACATTTTTTCTGGGATCCCTTCCCCGAACTAAAAATTAGCCTCGAACAGAAATGGACGAAAAAAAAAGTTTCATATTACATGCAAGCAATTTGGCAAATAAACTGTCAGCAGCACTGAGGGATATAGAAAAACGAGAGGGCGGGAGTTCCTTGCCTTATATATACGTGGCCTGGTATGCAATGAAGATGCTTGGGCTAGCAGCCATCGATTGAGGCCTGAATAATTCACAGAGAGCCAAGGAAAATGCCAGGGTCCGTGTCCCCGGGGGAAACGCAGGATAAATAAGGTAGCGGCCAGGGGTGGAGAGTCCTGAATCCTGCGTGGACCCTCGGGGTTGGCCGCTCACATTACCAACCCACCTAAAAATACTGCTTACTTTTCCCATATTTTCCTTGGCCCTTGGCAAAATCTAGGCGGTGACTTTTTATTTTCCAAAATCCATTTCGTTATGCTAAAGACAATAAAGCGTGACAGATAATTAGATTAAACTAATTTTGGTTTCGCTTTTTTATTGGCAATCAGTGACGAAACGAAGTCCCTTTCTTGTTTTGCCATTTGGTTAATAATTTTATTAGTGCTTCCCTTGTCAAAGTGGCGGAGTTGACAGTCGATTGCCGCATTGCAACACTGGCGGAATATATTTTTGTATCTGTGGACCGATGTCCCTTTATCGGGATGTGTGTGCGAAAAGCAAATAATTAATAATTCATGCAACACGATTGACAGTGCGCCCCAGTTGAACTCGCTGCTCCTTTTTTCCTGTTTCTGCTGTGCTGTACTTTGCCTCCTTTTTATTTGTGGCACGCTCATAAATTTACAATTACACATGCCAGAGTGGAGTCGGCGGTGCGCCGTTGCCTCCTTTTGCGTTGTTTTTAATTTAATAAATTAATAAAACGGCAAACGTGACAACACTGGCAACACTGGCATCAAAGTGGCAAAGTGTTGCCATTTGCATTTTTAATGCACTTTACCCTGCAACTCGGCGCGTAAAAATAATTATCAACTGAATCGACGATGAGTTGGCGAAACAGAGAGACAGCGGGGCGAATGCAGCGAAATTTTTAATTGAATTTTCTCAACATGCGTGTCAACTCTGACACTCTGTCAAAAGCACACCGTCTATTTCAGTTCCACAAATTCAATTTCACTTTCAATTGCCGTTAATTGCCGGCCTCCAGCTAGAAAGGGACCAAACAAAAAAAAAAAAGAAGAGTGGAAGACCGAATTTAAGCTTCAGCACGGACAGTCTGTAAGAGCGGCGGAAAATCGTACTTTTCCTTTTGGCACAGTTTAACACACAATGCCGGCGACTCCGGAGCGGAGCAGCTCCTCTTCGGCTCACCGGCTCACCTGCTGAACGCAGTTAACCCCAATTACGGGCACAAAGACCCGGCCCAGACAGACAGCCAACTAGTAGCTGGCAGTAGTTAAAATATTTAAGCCACAACAGCGAGGAGAAAAATGTAAGTAAGATGAAATGCTGCCGCAGGCATTAAAATAATAAGGATAAGGAAGCGGTTGTTAACCACGAAACCGCTCAAAAATGAATGAATAAGCGCCGGGCGGTAGAAGGAGCAGGTCCTGAAGCAGGAGCAGCAGTCCGGAGTCGCTTGCCCGGAGTCGCGTGCCCCGTGCTCCATTCTCCATTCTCCGGTCGAGTGAGTGGAGTGACTCCTCCTCGGCTCGTTCGGACTTTGTTCATTATGCGTTTCCTGTTTGCATAAGACCGAAAACCCGTAGTAATTGTTCTCCGCCACTGCGGCTGGCAGCCGGCGATTCCCGGGTCGCCCCATTGTGCCCGGCGTTAAATTTCGAAAGTTTGCCTGCCTTCTGCCTTCTGCTTCTGCCAACCGGCTTCTGCCTTGAGGCTATTTGACAAAATGAGAAAACGGAGTGACACGGAAAAAAGTGAAAATTGCATTGCAGCGCGACAGGAAATAGGCGAGCGTTTTCATTTTCCCTCTGTTTCACTTTTAATTATGCAGCGAGCTAGATTTCAGTCAACATTGGACCGGATTGGTTGGCAAAATACAATATTTAGCAAATGGAATTGGACAAACACCATGTTGCATTTTAAATTCGTGGTGTAAATTGTTTTTAAAGATTGATAAATCGTAAGCTAAAATATTTATTTAAATTTCTCCTCTGTTTGATTGCAGACTTCAAATATAAGTAGTGACCATTTTTCTGCTGCTTTACTTTCAAGTCTTTGGGATTTCACAATGTTTTTCTCCCCAGAAAGCATTCATCAACGACATCTGACTAACGACTCCACTTCAGTCATTTGTCCTGCCCCCAACTGGCCGATGGCTAATGATTTTACCTTGCCGAAAACTGTGCCACATTTACCTGATTAGCTTCTCAGCTGTTGTTTCTCGTAAAGCCAGTGCAACCGACTCCGGCCAGATCCACCCACTGGCGACTGGCGACTGGCAACTGGCGACGGACGACCCACTTACACAGGCAGCGGCTCTCGACAATGAAATATATTTTTAATCAAGCCAAATCGAATTCAAAGCAATACACCGGTGCCTCATTATTTAGGCAAATGTTCGGCCATTAACTACACACAAACACCCAAGAGTCCGAACTCAAGAGCGGTGACCCTCCCGCTCTGGGCCCAAAAATTACAACCGAAAACAAATTGACAAATGTTGCCACTTAATGTGCCGGGATAAAATGTTAAACAATTTCGTGTTGCGTTTCGTATGCCAAAAATATACAAACTAATTAATAAGAGGAGTTTCGGGGGAGGACCGACGGGAGCCAAGGGAATTGAGCTGAGTGAGTGAGTGAGTGAGTGACTGCCACACGCTGGATTTTATTTGATTTTGTAAAAATTTAATTTCCATCCAAGAATGCTTTCTTGGGCGGCAATTTTTCAACGCTGTCTTCGCAGTGGAGTGACTCGCCGTGACTTCCCTCAGTCAGTTCACAGCCGGGGGAATTTTGCATTTTGTTTGAATTATTGCCTTCATTAAGATTGCGTTGTTGATTTGCCCAGCCCCCTGCGTTTTTCTTACTTTCTGTGAGCGACAGCGTGACTCCACCTCCGTCCATCCCCACGTTGCGTATTTCCCAGAGTCTCTCCTTTGTTACACCTAGACCCGAACCAGACTCGCCAATTATTTCGGTTGCGACTGTTACGTTACACCACGTCCTGAATGTTGTGACTCTGCACTTGACAATAAATTTTATTCAGCGAACTGGGGGGCTTGTATTTTTAGCTTAATTGTGAATGAAGTTGATCTGCCTCCTCGTCATGTGCCGACATGTGCCCACTCCCCCAGTTCTTATTTTTTGCGTTTCGCTTCTTTTTTTCCTCTCTTTTTTTTTCTTTTTTTTTTTTTGTTGGTTCTGCCTACGCGTGTGTAATTGTGCGAAAATCATTCACATGGAAAATTTGCCAGACTGTAACCGCTGAAGTCATAATTATGCGAATATTTTCCCCTCCTCGCATGTCGGAAATGGCTTATTCTCGCCGAGCATTTGATTGGCATTCTGAGAGGCCATCCAGGAAAGTGCTTTATTACTTTAGGTGCTTGAAAATTTGGGTAATTAGGGGCATTGGTTGGCCAGTTCCCCTCGCAAATTGATTGAATTACTCTCAGTTCTTTATATATTAAATTCCTAACCCGCCAAAGTTTCCCACTTCACCTACTAACTTTCCTTTGGCTATTTCAACTATTTTGATTTTTTCTTAGCAAACAGATTGAGCGCTTCAAGTTCTTGTGCTTAAGTTCTTCATCTGTTCCTTTCTCTTAGCAATTGTCTAAGCAGAGCATTACACATTTTGCTAAGCAGCTTAGGAAATAGTTCCTTCGCCAGAACTTGGCCAAAACCAACCGGCAACCAGCAAAGGCATTCAAGCTGGAAGGCAACAACCAACAAAGCTGAACAAAGCACGAGAGCGAGCTGCCATTAAACCACTCATAACCCAGATACTTTAAGGGGGTGGCGGATGGCGAGGAGGCGAAAAACAATAAGTACAAATGGCATGGCGAAGCGGTTGTGGCGGGGAAGGCAGGCAGCTTGTTGGCCGGTACTTATGCCAAATGCGTTTGCGATTTGTGTCAATAAACGCAGCGCTGAGGAGAAAGCAGGCAAACTCCAGTGGCGGCAACTCGAGGAGCGAAAGAAATTTCTATTATCTGTGCAAAGTGTGCGCGAAATTGAAAATTGCAGGCTGTCGTCGCCGGCGTCGTCGTCGTTTTAGTCGTCCTCGCCGTCGTCCTTCGAGCGGCAGAAGCGCTCTAAATTTTCATAGCCATGCCCGTTGATAAACTCTAATATGACATTATGGCGAGCTAGCGGAGCTTTCGGCTTGTGTGCCTTAGCCAGCGTATGGCTCTGCAGAGCTCTGCGAAATTGCAATCGGGGGGTTCGAGTTTGAGTTCGCGTGGTGCATCCCGGCGATATTGCAACGGGGAATTGCAGCGGAGCGGGCTGTGTACATAGACAACATGGCAACAAGTTTACAAACACATTGCGGTTCCGCGCAAAAGTCAATTACCATTTTAACTGACAGTCCTCGAAGCTGCTGTTGCCATAGCCATAGATATATCCTTCATGGCCATAGCGATATATCTATATGCCAAACTTAACCTGCTGCAGCCATTCGATGGGCGCAAAAGCCCAGCATTTCAGTCAATCAGTTCGTAATCGATTTTGTCTGGGCGGCATCGGAATCGAACTCGTTCGTCACTGAGAAAATTTCGAGATGCCAAAATTAATAATTTTGTCAAATTAATTAAAGAATTGAATGTCGTTACCAACTCACAAGTTGGAGAAAATAAAGTGTTTTTAATTTTCTATTCTCAATAGAAACAACTTTTAGTTTTACTAGTTTATCTCTTGTTTCAGAAATTGAAAAGTTTTTCATTAAAATCCTTTGAAATAGGGAAATCTATCTCAAATAAATTTAAAATATTATTCATCAGCATAATTTCTTTAGGTGTAGTTCAGGTTTGCGTTCAGGTTCTGGTTCTGGTTCGGGATTCGGGTTTGGGTCTGTTGCTTGAGGTTAACAAATATGCGTCGACTGCTCCCGCTGCTTTTTACGCACAATTTTCCTTTGGCAAAGTTGGCGCTCGGTGGCGCGTTTGTCGAAATTGAATGTAAATATTTATTTTTATTTGCATCTGGTTGCATGCGAGTGAGTCTGCGCTAGTATCTGTATCTTGTTTGCCACTCGACATAATTAGACGATGTCTGTGCGATTCGAATCGCTCCGCTCGGCGGCTCGTTCCGTCTGCGGTCTCCGATTGCAAATGATTGCAAACTCGTCATAGATTTACAATATTTACCCATGCAAATTGCCTTGAGCCACAGACTTGGCCGGCGCGGGGTTATATGAGTTGGGAATTACGGGGCGTCAACCCTAAGCCGGGCATTCATAATTGAATTTTCATGTTCGCCACACTGCCATTACTATTGCTGCAGCATTTATGAGTTGGGAAATTCTAAAAAACCAGAATTATATATTTAACGATATGTGAGAGCGGAGTGTTTGGAAAAAACTAACGACAACAGACGGCCAGACACGCAATGTTGGGCAGGTCCTGCAAAAGGGTCCTTAACTGCCCGTTTGCTTGTTTTAATAACATAATTGAAAAGTGCTCTGAGCAAGGTAAATGGAATGCAGACGGCAGGGCAGTTGCCAGCTGGCTTTGATTACAGGGGGTTGGCTCTGGCAATGGGCAAAGGCAAAGGGATATGCCTTTGTGTATACACGGCACTACCTTTCGCCGGGGTGTTGGCAATGGTGTCGATCGCGTGTTGTGGCGCCTTGTTAACAGGCGTTTGTCCTCTGTTTAAAAGGTTGAGGTTTATTAGCGTGAATCAATATCAATAGGCACGGCAAAGGCTCGCAACTGGCCGCCCGTAATTAACTGCCATTTGACTCGCAATATTGATTCGTGCTGTCCTGCATTCCTCGATATTCAATTGCTGTCTTCTATCTTCCCGGTGTCCTGCTAAACTTCTCCAGTCGAATAATGAGCATTCCTGGAGGGCTCTCTGGCGGAAAATTGAAACTATTTTGCATAGCATTGGAAGCATTTTAATTTGAATTTCTTTCCGGCAAGTGATCAGCCGTGGACAAGGCGATGTCCCACCCGCATTTCTCCCTAATGGCAGTCGCTGGCAACATTAAGGATAATTGTTGTAGTTAGCATGTACTCCGGCATTTATAATGTGCTTCATTTATTTCCCCACTTCCCCCCATCCCCTCGCCATCTATCTAGTTTTTCCGCTGCATTCTCCATTTGGAAATACTTGGCTCGTTCTTCGTTCTGCTTTGCATATTTCTCTATCGTTAATGATAAAAATGTTGATTATGCATTTTTTTTTATTGCTCTTGGCTCTCTGGTGTTGATTGCGGTTGATTACGCTGGTTTAAAGGGAAACCTTTTTCGTGGTGGTCAGCGAGGGTGAATAATTTTCCTAGGTGATAACGGACGCA